TGTCGACGCACTGAACACCATTGACATGGGGCGAGAAGAGCGTCTTGATCGGGTTGCCCGTGGTCGCGTCCCAGACGACGAGCATCGAGTCGGGGCCGCGGTCTGCGGTGACGATCCAGCGCTTGTCTTCGCTCACGACGCAGCACGAGATCGGGTTGCAATGGCCCTGCAGAATGCGCTGCGTGCGGTGCGCGTAGTTGTAGATGACGCCCATGTGGCCGGACGTGTAGAAGATAGCGTGCACTGCATCGTCCGAGAGGCTGTGCACGCCGCCGACAATGTCCTTGTTGAAGCCAAACGACCACGAGAGACTCAGCGCATTCGCCGCGATCGGAGCCGCTTCCATGACGCCGGTTCAAGATACCACGCCACCCAACCGGCAGCGTTTCCTTCCAGAATTGAAGCAGCGGGTTTCAGAGGGTTTTTATCTCTACTCTAAGACGGTGGAAGGGTGGTAGGTGCGCCCCCACGCGCGGCGACGCACGGCAGACGTCGCCTCTAGCACACTGGTCCACGGACCTGCGAACGACACAGCGTAATGCCAATCTTGCGATCGACTATGCGGCGCGAGGCGCCATCCGTCGTCGCTGCTGCGCCATCCACTGGGAATGCTACTGGAAGTGGCATCGTCCAAGCTCTCGCCACACACGTAGCCGTCCATGGACTCGAACGGGTAGCCGTCAGCGGTCTCTAAGCACTGGGTGGTCCACTGCCCGTGCTGGCTCAATCGTTGCTTCTCCCAGAGCTCGAGTACGATGGTCGGGGCAGGGCGCCAAGTGAGATCGAGCCACACGACGGCTTTGGCGTGTGGCATCTTGAGGTGCGACGCGAGCCGATACGGCACGTTGACCTCGTCCTCGACGCTGGCAAGCGCGATCGAGGTCGAGACTAGCAACTTGTCGGCGTGAAGGCAGTCGTACACGGCGACGCGGAGGCGCGCGACGGGCTTGACTTCGGCGCGCAGGCAAAAGTCAAAGCTAGCGTGCCACTCGGGGTTGAGCGTCCGGGGCACAACGGCGCTGGTTTGCTCCTGGTCGTCGAGCTCCAGCACGACGTACGGGTCCCGCTGGCCGCCACAGAAGCGCGGGCCGCGCTCGTCGACGCAGAGGCTCGGGACGTTGGCGACGCGGCGCAGCTGCACTCGAAGCATCGGCATGGCTTGTAGTGTTGCTGCTGCGAGTAGAATCACGCGACAACCGCGTTGTCGGTTCCAACCGGTGCAAACGGTTTCGTTCGCGGTCCGATCTCGCCATCTTGTACGCGACAGCACACCCGCAGCGTAGACACGCGGCAGGATACAGCCATCCATCGGCAAGGGAATATGCTTGGATTCAACGATCTTTAACGCCCACAAAGTAGGTGTCCTAACTGTACTGCTGCGAAGCACGCGGGCCGAGAAAGGGGGTGAGACTGTGCACATGAGATTGGGTCGCCTGTCCTGCCCGACGGTAAACAATGCAGCGACCAACGCACGAAGGGGAGCGATCACCTTGTTTAGAGGCTCCATAATAGGTTGAGGACATCGCCAGAGCGCTTCTTGTACCACGGGGATGCGTTCGGCTAGGAAAACCCGAGAGCGGTCTCTCTTTTTATTAAATTGTCACGGCGTTTGCCATTGAGCACATACAAACATCAAGAGATTACAATACGTTCTTCAACAGCGCATTATTGGGGGTCCCCCCTCCCGATTACACACTTCCATCCTTGCGCAGCGTGGTGTTGGACCAAGGCGACCGCGATGGAGACGTCGTCCGCCATGGACGCTTGCCTCTCGCCGTTCGCGGACTACGCCAAGATGGACAGCGACCTGCATGTCTTTAGCCTCTCGCAGCTGCAGGACGGCCATGTGCACAGCCTCTCGGACCTCCTGGCGGCGACGACGACCTACGAGGCGCCAGCCACGAGCCAACGACCGCGCTGCGCGCCGTGCAGCCGCATTGCAGAGAACTGGGACGCGCGCATCTTGTGGTTCACGCTCTACACGGTGCTATGCTTGCTCGTCGTGTCGTTCGCCGTGCCCGCCTGCATGGACGCGACGTCGTACCCGCTGGGCACGCATCTCGAGTGCATGGCGCCGTCGCCGGACCTCGGGCACTCGAAGCGGCAGTCGTACTTTGACATGGTCAGCATCATGCTTATCACTGGCAACGTCGTCGTGCTCATTGGCGTCTCGCTCTACCTCGGGCTTCAATGCACGTGGAGCAAGAAGAAAATCATGGCCAACCCCAACCATGCCAACCTCAGTACGTCATGCTTGGGCGAGTCCAAGGCGCTTATACTGTGTCTAGCCAATAGCTTTGTCTTACCGTGCTACGCCTTGGTCTGGTACATTTTCGCAGGGCTCGGCGCGAGCTTCATCGTCGGTGTCACGTTCTCTGTCTCGACTGCGCTCTGGGTCCACCCCGGTTTTGACGCGATCTACTGCTTCCTCTTTCACTTTCCCATCACCTGGTTCGCACCTCCGCCAGTTCAAATCTCAGCACGCGCCCATTAGGATCCGGCAGCTTCTCCCGGTCCTCATGGTGCAAAAGTCGATTTCAAAGGCGGCGATCCTGCGCTCGGTCGGGCTGTCCGGCGCCAGTACGTGGCCGCACATGGGACGACTACGCTTGACGTATTCTGTCTGTGATTAGTGACCATCGTCTTTATGAGCTTTATCTTCATCGACAAGGCGTCGGATGGCGTTCCGATCTTCTTCCTCGGCTTCCACTTCGTCTCGCTACTGTACTATGCGTGGACCAAGTACGTTTGCTTTGCACGGACGTCGTTTGACGTCGTATACGTGCTCTTGGCGTTGACGTCCGTGCTCTACATGCTGTCCGTTTCCGCACCTATAGAAACAATATCGTCATGCGTCCTGTAGACCCCCCGTGGTGCTGCTCTTGGACCATCAAATGCACCCGTCTGTCTTTAGCCGCGTCACTGTTGTCGGCAACGTGGTCGATGCGTTCACGATTCTCTCGATTCTGCTGAGTCTTCGTGTGCGCTTGATATCTTGATGGTTTCATTGCGTGACGCGTCTCCGTAGGCCGACACGAAATACTGGCTGGGCCTCGACGACAACTCTGTCCAGACTAACGATCCAGCCAAGTTGTACCTCCGACTGGTACGTCCATGCGCTTGCGTCAAGGGTACCGAGCGCCCGTAGATTTCGGACCGAGGCATGGTCTCATCCTTCTCGACCCGCACGTCGGTGTACGATGTCCACTACATGATTGAAGAGTTTAAAGACGTATGACCTTCGTCGTCGCTTCCGCTGTCTGCATCTTGGTGTAGAGCATGATCGACTACTCGTGTCTGCACCTCGACGCCGTCATCGCCCAAGGCGCAACCGCCGTCGTCCTCCGCGGCTCGATGCACAAGCACATACTGCGGCCAAATGCCGCGGTCGCCATCAAGATGTACACGTCGCTCTTCGTGACGGACGACGACGTGCGCCGCTTCTCCAAGGAGACGTCGCTCAACATTGGTCTCTCGCACCCCAACATTGTGCGTTTTTACGGGTACCGGGTCTCTCGTTTTGTGCGGTGGCGTCTCAGCGTTCTAGGCTCTGCGTCGTGCCGCCTGCGATCTGCTTGGTGTTCGAGTACTGCGAGTGGGGATCGCTCGAGCTCGTCTTGCTTGCGCAGAACCGGTCGACGACCGAGTGGGACCTCCAAACGAAACTCAAGGCGTGCTTGGATGCGTGCCGCGCGGTCGCATACCTCCACAGCTTTAGTCCACCGCTCTTGCACCGGTAGAAATGGACACCTTTCTCTACATAGTTTCTCAAGCGTGGGGTAGGGACATCAAGACGGCCAACTTTTTACTCGCCTCGGATGCGATGCTCAAGCTTAGCGACTTTGGCGAGAGCAACCTCATGCGACCCAAGAACGACGGCACGATGACGGTCGTCGGCAGCGTCGACTTTATGGTGCGTCCTGCGATCTGCGATTGGCGGTCTGAGATCTGAGATCTGAGATGGTAGGCGCCTGAAATGATCTCGGGGGGCCGGCCCGCGTCAGCCGTGTACGGCACGGCGGCCGACGTCTACAGCTTGACGATGACGCTGTGGCACATTCTGGCTCCGGGTCGGAACCCGTGGAAAGGCCGGTCGCACTTTGAAGTGTACACCAAAACCATCCAGGGCGAGCGCCCACCGATACCGGAGACGCTGCCCACCGACTGCCACGAGCTGCTAGAGCGTGGGTGGGCACCGGACGCCGACGAGCGCTGGCACGCAGATGAAATGGAGGAGCTCGTGCTCGGGATGCTCAAGGGCGGCGCCTCGTGTGTGCGGCTGGAGGCGCCAACCGCATCGTCCTCCATGTCGGGGACCTCGGGAAGCTACGTCTTGGCCCACTCAACCAGCATGTAGAAGAACCCTATTTATTGAAAACATACTACTAGCACTCGGGTGGCTACGAGCGAAAGCAGGAGCAGGCGTCTTGTTGGTGATCGCACCCCCACTGCACTGCGCTGCGCTGCGGCCAGGACAGAGAGCTAGTATCGAGTTGATAGACTGCTGAATGTGGCATGTCGACGTGGTACGTAACCTTGTTCTTGTACGGATCTGGATTGGTTGAAACACCGTGTCTTTTTAACCAATCCCACGCGTGTGTAGCATTGCCATGGGTAGTACTTTGCTTGGATTGGATAAAACGCGGTTGACGGAATGACGGTCGCCAGACTTTTCAGCCAATCCAAGAGCACTCGTGTTCGGACCCACGCTGCAACCTCATTAGCACGCGGTCGAGCATGTCGTCAGGCGACGTAAGCGGCCGCTCGCCATGTCTACGCTCAAGCTTCATGCGTAGGAGTTCGACGACCACTACGCCACGCAGCGCCGGCGACAGGCAAGCGCTGCGCCCACCAAGGCAGCGGCCGCCACCGAGACCGCCGTTCCGTGGGTCGACGACGCCGAGGCGCCGGCCTGCCACGTGTGCGAGACGCCCTTCTCGCTCGTGAAGCGCCGTCATCATTGCCGCACGTGCGGCAATGTCATTTGCTCATCGTGCTCGGTGTTTGTACCAACGGCGAAGAAGCCGCAGCGCGTCTGCATCGCCTGCGTCGAAGGCGTCCAGCCTCAACGAAAGGTACCCTCGCCGTCCCAACCAGCAGCCCCAGCAGCAAAGAAGGAACCTCGCATCAAGCGAGCCGAAGCAGACGTGACGCTATCCACGCGGCCACCCCGCCCTGTTCCAATGGCACCGTCGTCGCACCGGTTGCAAGAGAGCATCGACAACTGGTTCCTGGATGAGAACGAACCCGTGAGCCCGATGGCGCCGATGCCGGTGCCTGGAAAAGCACCCCGATCCTCAGCTCCGTCGTCGAGCGCGTGGGCTTCGGTCGGTCCGTCGCAGACCAAGGCCAAGCCACAAGGCAATCTTCGCTTCGCCGACGTCGTGTTCGACGACCGGCCGTTGTACGACGACGACCTCGACGACACCCGGTCGCAATCTCGATTTCCGCCGCCCAAGACACAACCGCAGTATGAGAATCGGCGGGCTGACCGCCATGGGCATCGCGCAAGTGTACCGTCGGCGCAGCCGCCGTCCCCCCTCCGACCGTGACCGTCGTACCATCGCGCGATCACGAGCCAGCGCCACCGGCCATGGCCGCACCACTGCCAGCGCCCGTTAGCCCGCCACTAGCGCCCTCGACCGCGCCAGAAAAGAAAAAGCATGGGTTCCGAGCCACCATGAAGCGCCTCTTTGGCGGCAAAGAGCCGTCCGAGGCCAGCGCGCCAGCGACTATTGTGGTACCATCAACACCGGCGTTAGCATCGGCATCAGCATCGGCGTCCATCTCGGTCTCGGTCGCGTCGAGTACGTCGGATGCCCTCAGTGTGAGCCACGTGTCGCATTCAGAGGAATCCGAACAGGTCGAGGTGTGGACCCGTGGCAACGACGAAGCGTCGCAGTCAAAAGTTACGAGCTCGTATGCCAACCCTTCGGCGGTGTCCATGCGTCCGTCGTCGTCGTCGTCGACACTCGTACCGAGACAAGCGTCGGCACCGATGACGCGTCCTCGCCGCGACACGTTCGACGATATGTTTGAAGGCCCGCGGCAGGTGCAGCCTCTCCGGGACCTCCAGACGCGCGCCTTTGATATCCCGTCCATCGAGAAGGTGCCGACGCGTGAGACACGGCGAGGGACGTTGGAAGACAATGTCTTTGGGTCGTCACCGACAACCACGTCGGTATCGTCATTGTACGGCGCGTATGCATCGGTGCCTGGCGCGTCACGCTACGGACCCGATCGGTTTGCGCTGCCTGCGCGCCCGAGTCGGTACGCGCATGCCGAGCCGCATGCGACGACCGCCGGCGACTTTGATGTGGACGACGACGACACCACGAAGCGCCACGAAGCCGAGTTCGATCCGGTCTCGGGCTCGTACATCGTGCCGCAAAAGGCGCTGGTCGTGCGGCAGCCAGTGTCCGAGGTGTTGCGACAACCGGTGGGTCCGCCGGCGCTCTCCGAGACGACGGGGATCGCCATCGTCGACAAGCTCTCGTCGCTCGAGCACGAGCTCGCAGAACTCAAGAGCTTGCTTGCAGCGCGCAAGTCGCACCGTCGGTCGAACGCCGCTAGCATCTTTGAACAAGAGAGTGAGAGCGATCGTGACGCGACCCCGTCACCGCCGATTGTCAAAAGAAGAAACGGCAGCCCCCGGCACCGCGGAAGGACTCGTTTGGAGATCTCTTCGAGGACGACCAGGCGTCTGGCAAGCCGCAGTACGAGTCGCTTTTTGCTATCCAAGGACGCCGCGGTCTCCAAGACGACAAGGGCAACGACGATGATGACGAGGAAGAAGACGACGCGCCCGTCTCGCGCTGGCCGGGGCGCCACAAGCCCCGACGAGGCCGGTCGCCCGTGCCCCAAGTGGCTGCGAAGAAAGCATCGAACCGGCGGTTCACGATGGACGACAGCGACTCGTCGCCGCCGCGCAAGCCAAAGGACTCGTTCGACGGTCTCTTCACGGAAGCGTCGCCGTACAAGGAGGAGCTTTTCGGTGACAACGTCGCGTCGAGCGATGACGACGAGCGCACCGAGAGCCGTAGTACAACCAAGCGACTGCAGCATATTTACGGCTCGGACGAAGACATGTCCAAGGCGACGGGCGACGACGACGCGGCACTGCCGAGCCTCAAGCGCAAGCCCAAGGCGCCAGCAAGTACACTAACCGAGGCGGAGGTGTCACCTCAGCCAGCACAAGTTGTCAAGCCAGTCACCAAGCCCCGAGTGCGCAAGGACTCGATCGACAACCTCTTCCAGGACGACGCCGGAAAGTTTGACCGGCTCTTTGACGACAAGTCGCGTCCGGTGACGGCGTCCAAAAACCTCTTTGATGGCTCGAGTGACGAAGACGACGTGGCGACACCGCTGGCGTCACAACCGTCGACCGTCCGTCCGATGCCAACCGATGACGACAATGACGACGAGGAAGACGACCTCCCAAGTTTGCGGACGGCAAAACGCTCTATCCCAACGCCAACTTTGGCCCCGGCAGTCGTTGTCGCCGGAAGTAGCTACTCGGACGAAGAGGAGTTGCCGAGCTTGCGGTTGCGGTCGTCGACAGCACCCGTCACGACGACGCTGCCCACTCCTACGCCCGCTCCGTTGCTTGACCTGCCGGTGCAGACCTGCAGCCTGACGGACGTGTCATTCCCGATTACAAGAGACGTGTCTTTGGATCATTTGGACGACCTGGTGATGCAGTCCGAGACTGTGGAGACCGCGGTTGTCGAGACCGCACCTACGGTCGACGAGGCAGCTCCATCAGTCGTCGAGACCGCACCTACGGTTGACGAGGCAGCTCCAACAGTCGTCGAGGCAGCATCCACCGTTGCCGAGTTCTCACTGCCGCCGAGTCAGGCGTCAGGATTCGTCATTGATCTCGACGAGGAGTTTGACGATGGTCTTTTCGGCGCAGCTACAGTTCGTGTCGCCACTCCTTTGACGACGCCAACCGCACAAGAGCCAGCGGCGACGACTGCCGCTTCGATGTGGTTGTTTGCTGATGACGGCGGTCGAAGCTCCACGAGCTCCTTGGCCCGCGTTGTTACAGCTGAGAAACCGCAAGACGAGGCATCCGCCTCTCTCTTTGACGAAGCGTCGTACGTGCGGATCGAAGCAGCCGACGTACACAGCTCGCCCGAGATGGTCGGCGTCGCGGTACCAGCGCCCGAGAGCGCGCCAGCCGACTTCGAGTCGTTCTATATATCGACCGAGCCGTCGTCGAGCGTCGACAGTCGCATGGATGACACGGCAGCCGACGACGGTGACGATGACTCAACGCCCGATCCCTTTAGCTTTGAGCGCAAACCCAACAAGAAGCGGCCAACTGTCGCTGCGCCGGTCCTTGTGCACCGACCGTCCAAGCCTTCTGGCATCGACGAAGACAACGACGGTGGTATCCTCCTCGGACACGACGCTACGCCATCCGCCGACGCTGGTCACACCGAGCCGGACGACGTCGACTTGGCCAAGGTCGACAACGCCGAGTTCGATGCGTCGTGGCAGGCGATGCAGCAGGACGAGAAGGCGCGGAAACAGAACGTCCTCAAGCGTCAGCGCCAGCTCCACAAGCAAAAGCTCAAAGACGCCGCCGAGAAGAAAGCGGCAGAGAAGGAGAAGAAGTCCAAGTCCTCCAAGAAAAAGACCGACCGGGTTGCGACTAAATAATTTTACTCTCGTCGATATTCCTACCTTGGTGACGGCTTGAGAGACCCGCATTGGAGACGACCTGTCCGCGGGAGGTGTTGCCGGTGGCTCGCTAAAAGCCACATGGTCTGGAAACGGGCTGCAATGGCTTGCACCGAGAGGCGCTTGGCCGGGTCGGCTGCCCACCCATTCTCGAGCAAGTCGATGCAGTCGGGTGGCAGCGTCAGCGGAATCGTCGGCCGGTGGCCTTGGGTCACTTCCGTGTACACTTCAAAGTGCGACCGGCCTTTCCACGGGTTCCGACCCGGCGCCAGAATGTGCCACAGCGTCATCGTCAAGCTGTAGACGTCGGCCGCCGTGCCGTACACGGCCGACGCGGGCCGTCCCCCCGAGATCATTTCAGGCGCCTACCATCTCGGATCTCAGATCTCAGATCGCAGATCGCAAATCTCAGATCGCCAATCGCAGATCGCAGATCGCAGGACCCAAAACGACGCACCATAAAGTCGACGCTGCCGACGACCGTCATCGTGCCGTCGTTCTTGGGTCGCATGAGGTTGCTCTCGCCAAAGTCGCTGAGCTTGAGCATCGCGTCCGAGGCGAGTAGAAAGTTGGCCGTCTTGATGTCCCTACCCCACGCTTGAGGTACTATGTAGAGAGAGGTGTCTACCGGTGCAAGAGCGGTGGACTAAAGCTGTGGAGGTACGCGACTGCGCGGCACGCATCCAAGCACGCCTTGAGTTTCGTTTGGAGGTCCCACTCGGTCGTCGACCGGTTCTGCGCAAGCAAAACGAGCTCGAGCGACCCCCACTCGCAGTACTCGAACACCAAGCAGATCGCAGGCGGCACGACGCAGAGCCTAGAACGCTGAGACGCCAACGCACAAAACGAGAGACCCGGTACCCGTAAAAACGCACAATGTTGGGGTGCGAGAGACCAATGTTGAGCGACGTCTCCTTGGAGAAGCGGCGCACGTCGTCGTCCGTCACGAAGAGCGACGTGTACATCTTGATGGCGACGGGCACCGCGTCGCGTAGCGTCCGCTGCATCGAGCCGCGGAGCACGACGGCGGTCGCGCCTTGGGCGACCACCGACTCGAGGTCCAAGAGAGAAAAGTCAATCATGCTCTACCCGTATGTTCGGTTGGGTGTGAAGCACGACGGAATGCAAAGGCGCACCTTCTTGAACTCTTCAATCATGTAGTGCACGTCGTAGACAGACGTGCGGGTCGAGAAGGACGACACCATGCCTCTCTCTGCAATCTACGACCGCAGATTCTTTCAACAAAGAGCGATGCTGTAGAAGGTGGACCAGTCGGAGGTACAGCTTGGCCGGGTCTTTAGTGTGCAGCGAGTTGTAGTCAATGCCGAGCCAGTACTTGGTATCGGCCTACGCGCTACCGTCGTGAGCTTGAAGGATCTTTTCGCCCGCGTACGCGCAGGGTGAGCATGATGCCAAGGATCCCGAAGCAGTCGATGAGGTTGCCAATGACCGTCACGGTCACGTAGAGGTAGTAGTACATGTCGTCGTGGTCCGGCGACCGGATCAAAAGCATCACCGGCGGTCTACGCCCATCGACAGTGAGACAGTTGGCAACGCATGGGACGTACAGGATGCCGACGAGGGACGACGCGACGAGCACAATGTAAATGTAGTCGAAGGACGCGCGCGAGAAGCTAATAAACTTGGCCCACGTGTAAAACCCGATCGAGACGGCGTGGAAGACGATAAAGAAGATCGCAATGTGCATCTTGTCGAGCACCATGACGCTGAGCAGGAGCGCGCTCACTAGCATGCAGTTCATACGGAACAAATCGCACAGCGACGCACGTACCGGCGCCCGAGAGAAGCATGGAGCGCTGGACCGCAGCTTTGGAAATCGACTTTTGCACCATGAGGATCGGAAGAAGCTGCATGACCCTATGCACATCGATATGATGAGATCCTACTGTCGTCATCAACAGAGTGTATTACCACGAGGTTGGGAGGTAGATGAGAAAACAGGCGGCGCCGCGGTAGGCCCAGATCGTCTTCATGGAGACGGTGATCGAGACGGCCATGACGCTCATGCCGTAGACAGCGACGACCAGAAGCGTGAGCCACACCATGTCGTAGCACGGTAAGACGAACACCGAGGCTAATGCAGGGCAACCATAAGTATCAATCCTTCAAGGCAAGAGGACGCACTGAGGTTGGTGTTGTTGGGGTTGGCGATGATCTTGCGCCGGGTCGCTCGGCACTGCACTGCGAGAAAGGCCGAGACGACAAAGATGACAAAGTAGTTGCCCAGCGTGAGGATCGTGCTGAGCATCTTGATGTTGGACTCGCTCGCCGAGTCCTTGACCGTGGCGTTCCACTCTGGAAGGAGGCAGAGCATGTGCGCTCCAAAGTGCATCTTCTTGTACCGCTGCTCGTCGACGACGTACGTGAGGGCAAAGGCTGCTGCGAGCATGAGCAGGATCGCAACCAGCGTCGCCCAGAGCACGGACGCGTCCCAATTGGAGCGGAGCCGCTGCCAGAGCTGCATGTCGCAGCGCCACTGGGCACAGAAGCGCCTCGAGCGCGTCGACGGCGGCATCTCGTGGCCGTCGCCCATGGCTGGCAGCTGCCCAAGGCCCGTCTGAAGCGACTTGACCGAGTCGAGGAGCAGAGTTTGGTTGGCATTCATGTAGAGGCTTACGCTTTCGACATGGCTGCGCGTGCCAAAGTCCATCGTGAGGTACTCGTAGTCCCGGAAGGGCGAGAAGGGTGAGCCGCCTTGCGGCGGCGGCGTCGCGCCCACCATGGTGCAAAGTCGCGAGAGCCGGTGAAATGATTAGCTAATCACCCTCCCGTGCAGCCATTAAACGCGGGGGATTGGTCAAAATACGCGAGACAGCGTGATGCCATTGGTCGCTGTGACGCGCCAAAGATTTGCGGATCTTTCAAGTCGAATGGCGATCGGCGGGAACGATCTCAGTGATCACTATCAGTAGCCACCACACGCAGTTTCTTGTAGTACATTGTATTGGCTCAAGTCCGACGGTCGTAGCTACTGGACTTAGTCTGCACGCTCTCTAGTTCAGCTTTCTAATTCGACCAAATGCTCTTGCGCGACACCTCGAGCAGCGTAGCCGGTGCGGCTGCCATCGCTTCGCCGCCCGTAGAAGTGGAGCGTGTCGTGAGCTTTTTGACGCTAAAACAGTGTATGTCAAGTTCTGAACCATCGAAAAGAGGTATTTTGAAGCATTCTATGCGTTGTTGTTGTTGAACTGAGTTATATTACATGCAATTATAAAGATATGGTGGACTTCCTAATGCGCTCGTGAGGCGTGGCCGGTGCGTCAGCGAGGAGCGTTAGTGGTCGTGATTCGAGATCGTGCGAGGGACCAGGTAGCGTGCACACCAGGGGTCGTCGCGAAGCATTCTATGCGTCATATTCTTCTTGATAGCGCTACTGCCAAGAATGGCTCTACTGGTGAGTGTGGCGGCCTTTTCCAGATGCTACATTGAAGGTCTTTCGAGTGACGTGTGGATGTAGGTGCGCACGCAATTTTACAGTGTTAGTTGGGGTTGTTACCGTTTCCTCCCGCGCTTGTGTTATAGGGTGTAGAGACCACGCGGCAAATTCTGAGCGGTGTAGCTACATGCAGAGAGATGTATGGCAGTGGATTCTACCAGGTTCTTCGTACGTCTCGTCTCGAGAGAAGCTTGCGTCGGCGATTCTGCACATGACCGGCATTTGACGCGGTGGACAATATCATCCAATCCGCGCGCTCGTTGGATGGAAAAGGCCGCCAATGATTTCTTTTGCACCAATCCCAGCAGTGTATCGGTGCAAACGTGCGCTTTGCAGCGCTTCTTTATGTTTCATTGGCTAAAATCCCATCGTGTGTGTGAGTGCTGGTCGTTTTGGCCATATTCATGTGATTACACGGTGGCCGGTCCTGGATCCAAAAAATACAAATCTAATTTTATTCTTGTGTCCACCTTTATACCTTGTATTGGTATGCCATGAAATAAAACGGCATCGCTTTACATTGGTATAAAATAGAATTCGGCCGCGGCCAGACGCCACGGACATCATTTCCCAAGACCAAGTCCGCAGCATGGAGCGCGACCACGACGAGCAGCATGCGAGCCCGCCGGCGACCGACGCCGAGAACGACGTCGAATTCATGCGCGCAGTACGTAGCACCCTCCATGCGAGTCCACGCTCATGGACATCATGTGTCTACCTAGGGCTACGAGGTAAACGGTACTCCAGACAAGTTCTACCGCCAGCCAACCGAGTCCTTCCGCCATGTCGCCGCCGCACGGTTCACGTCGCGCCAGTTTGTACGCAGCCACATGTGGCAGCGACGAGCACGCTCATGCATGCGCGTAGGGTATGGACGCCATGCCGTACGAGTCGGATTTCAACATGCACCACCAGCCCCACGGAGCTACGTCGCCAATGTTCGCAGGCGCAGGCAGCATCGACGCGCCGTTGTTTTACGGCGGAGAGGCCCCCAAGAAGCCGGTGTACGACTTCGTTCTTGGCAGCGAACCGGCATCAGAGGCGTCGTACCGGCACGAGCCACGGACCGAGGAGCCGATGGAGCCAGACGTCGAAATCCCGCTGACGGACCCGAACCCACTTTACCATGTCGTGAACCCGTCGTTTATGTCGGTGTTGAGCCCCCTGGACACCCTGTACCGCCTCGAGCAAGTTGTGCGCAGCCTCGAGTTTTCCTACGAGAAGAAGAAGCCGTGGCAGGTACGTCACAGCATCTCTGCTGCGGGGGTCCCACACGGCTGGTCCTAGATGGAAGTGCATGGTCTTCTCTGCGCCGAAGAAGTCACGTTCCGGCTCGGTTTGACCAAGCCCATCGACAGCCCGGACGTTGTGCAAGTCGACGGCTACCTCCTAAGCGTACTACTACCTATCGCATTATTGTGGCATCCGTTCTCATGCCGTGGCGCGTAGGGAGACGAAGGTCACTTTCTTCGCCTCTTTGACGTCGTCCGGAGCGAGTGCAGCGCCTTTGACAAAGACGCCCTCGAGGACACGTACGCGACCTTGGCGCCACGGAGCACTCACGCAGAGATAGGCACCGCATCCTGCGCAAGAGCGAAGCATGGCTGAACATCGACGCGATGCCCGAAGTCTTTCCCGGCTCGGGCGCCGTCTCGGACGACGTCATGATGGAGTACTGTAACGACTACATTGGCCTCGTCCACACGAGCCTCGAAGACACGCGCAGCTGTTACGCGCGCCTCGAGATGGCCAAGACGATCAAAAACTGCTGCCTTGTCGAAAAGAACCGGACGGCGATCCTGGAAACACGAATCTGTTCGAAGTGTTTTGGGAAGCACTCCAGCACATGGTCGTCGATCGACAGACGCCTATCACCCAGTACGCCGTCTATGTCCTCTACCACTTCCGCAACTCGATCCAATCCATCAAGAATTTGGAAACGTACGTTCGGCGCTGCGTGTACTGAGGCGTAACCTCGTCCTAGCATCGACATGGATCTCTTTCTGCGCGCCATGTCCAAGACGTCGTCGTCGTCGTCCAACTCGGTACCCCGCATGAAGACGATCGCCCGCACCTTGCGGCACGCCATGGGCGCGTGCTAACTCATGCTAGCTCTCATTTCTTAATTACCACGTCTACGAAAGATCATGCACGTGTCACGTTGGTGACGCTTCAGACGGATGGGGGAAGTGCGTACACACCCATCTCGCTGACATGGCCACCGGCTTGTACAAAGCTTTGTGTGCTGGCCTCGACAAAGTCAGGCGATCCAGCAATAGATGCGTGCCAGCCTGCCACGTCATAGTTGCAAAGCGCGGTGGGTGCATCGACGAGTGCAATCTGGCACCGAGCCCACGGTTCGTCGTTGAACGGGTGCTCGAAATACGGTATCGGCTCCGACCCACACTGCAACCACAGGACGTCGCAGTCGCAGGACTCGCGCGCAGCGTACAGAGCGCGCACGATAGCGAAGTACGGTGCGCCGGCCGCGCCTTCGCTCAGAAAGAGAGCCTTCCGAGGCAGTGACGTCGGCGTGTCGAGCTCCCAGTGCATGCTAGAGAGGACCCAAAAGACTTGCAACTTGGACTGCAACGGGGCGTTGCAGAGCCACTCGAAGACCTTGTCAATGCTCTCGACGCACAGCTCGATCTCGCGCGAGTCGGCGTCGTACAGACTCGTTAGCGCAAACGAAGCACGGACCTCGCCGGTTGAGAGCGGGACGCCGACAACCAATGCGTCGCCCGGATGGTACTGCAGTGCAACGTCGACCAGAATCCGCAGCCGTTGGACGTTGGATGCGATGGCCTCGCTCGCCACGATGTGCGCGTCGACGCTCGGCGCAATCGGCGCCACGGGCGTGCTCAAGATCACGGGCAGCATCAAATAGTACACAAAGCAGTACGCGGTGAGGTACGCGGTCTTGATCTTCTCCGACCACGCCGGGCCGCTCACGGCTTCCAGCGTCTCGAGCAAGACGATACCGACGTCGGCGTAGTGCTCCTTGCACGCGCCGTAGCTCGCGTGCATGGCTGCGAGGCGCTGGGCTGTCTCGACAACGTCGCGGGACCGGATCAATGTCGCCAGCGTGTGCACCATGCCCGTGATGGACTTGCCTTGCAGCGTCAGGGACGACCGGAAGAGCGACCGGGCGCTTGGCACGCGCGCAAAGAGCTTGGTGTAAAAGGTCGCATGGAAGAATTTGACGGGTGTCATGTGCTTTTGAGGTAGAAAGGCGGGCGACCCGGTTGAGATCGTCGCCCAGTGCTCTCGGATGAGCGCGTCGTCGGCGTGCGTGACGAACGGCCGCTTGATCGCGAGCGGCATGTCCGGCTCGTAGCCACGCGCGAAGTCTTCGTGGATACCAATGCCGTCCGGCGTCGTGAAGATGAGACTCGCGTCTTCCAGCGAGACAATGCCTCCCATATTCCACCAAGTGCTTTCGAAAGGTCCGGGATAGATCCACACGGGGACTGCTCCCGTGATATTGGATGCTGTGATGCGAATTTGTTTGCACGGTGCGCTCGCAAAAGGCCCGTCACGCCTTGGCACTGCTAGTTCTACCAAGAGTACATAAATTGACTAGTCATTGATGTACTCTTGCGGCTACGTACTGGAGCTTGACGAGCTTGGCGCGAGCTGGCGGCACTCGGTCGACAACTTGATGACAAGGTAATGTCCTACCGGAAACGAAATGTCCGGTTCCGGAAAAAGCAGAAATAGGATTCAATCCCTACTTGAACGATTGCTTGCGCAAGGTTGGCCATGGACGACGATGGCGGCTGCGAGGTGACCCGTATCCTTGGCGCTCGGTACGGCGACGCGCGATGGCCCACGTGATACCGAAGATCTTGTCTGTAGACACCACTTTGCCGTGCTCGGCCTTGCCCGAATCGAGTTTGCCGACCTCGCGACCGTGCGGAGGTACGACGTCGGCGTCCAGTCGCATCTCATGGGTGTATCGCTAGGCAATACAAGCTACTGGCGCGCGTCGTCCATCCCGACAAGAGTGCCCATGCTCGTACGTCTCCTACCCTCTGCAAATAGAAGCCCATCGAGGGTACCATAGAGGCGGAGGAGGCGTTCAAGAAGCTCAGCATCGCATACGAGTGCCTCGCCGACGATGCGAGCCAGACACAGTACATTGCATCGATCTCGTCCTCGAGCAAGAAGCGGCGAAGAGATCATGCTAATGTCCCGCCTGCCAAGCGACCCGCGCCAGCGACGCACGGGCGGATGCGCACGCCCGACGAGATCTACGCCGCTTTCATGGCCGAGGAAGAGCGACAAGCTGCCGCCGAGTTCCAAAAGCGCGGGTTCGAGCGGGTCTTTATCGCATCGCCCAAGACGAAGCACAAGACCAAGACCACCGAGACCCCGCTGCCAACGCCAGAGGACCATCGCCGCGAAGCGCTGCTCGCAACCGACCTGGAGGCCAAGCGCGGCGGGTGGGCGTCGTTCGCGTCCGGCAAACCACCGAATTCCTCCGTTCCAGAGGTCCCCTCTCCCCCTGTAGTGGCGCCTCCAGAAGTTGTCGTACCCGCCTTGCACTGTCTGCTTTGTCGGCGCAAATTTAAATCGCGCGACGTCCTGTTGCGGCACGAGGCAGAGTCCGAGCTCCATCAAGCTAACCTCGCCAAGCAGGCACAGCGAGCAACATAATTGTACAAGGACCCGCGCTATAACGGTGGTGTCGTGTACGACAGACGAAATGGCTAGAGTTTACCAAGTTGCGTTGTACTGTCCATCAACGCTGACTGGTTTCATGTCCTTCGCGGTGCTGCGTACCAAGAAAAATGCTTTACTCCCTTGGTACTATCCAGTGAACTACGAGGTACTTGCTAGCACCCGCGCTGCACGGGCGTGCTAAAGAGGCAAGGGCCGTAGGCAGTTAAACCATCTCGTCCATGATCAAGAAAACGTGTTGTTGTCTGAGCCCTCGACGGCTCGGTTGGAAATTTTGCGCCGCGACCCTCAACGTACAACAGGGTCGCTTCGAGACAGCCTTGCGGCTATGACCCCATGCTCGTGCATATGAAGCAGCCCTGTTGCACGAGCCGAACGTGCAGAACCATCGCTTTGCGAGGCAGTGAGGTCAGCGCCATTGCAAGCCCGAGACGAGCGTACCCGCTAACGTCGTCGAGACGCCGGTCTATATTTAGTCGAGTGTTGCGCCATGCGCGTGACGGACGAGGTGCTTCTGCGCGGCCGCAGCAAGGCGCCCCTCGACCAGCTGCAAGTGCTCCACGTTGAGCACTGCAGCGTCCAAGCGCTCGCAAACCTCCAACACTGTGGCTGTCTCCACTCGCTCTACGCTGGCCACAACAAGCTCGTCGACATTAGCAATCTGGAGGGCCTTCCGCAGCTCTGGCTCGTCGACCTGAGCGCCAACAAGCGGCTCCACGACCTGAGCCCCCTCTCGAGCTGTCTTGCCCTTGGGTACCTCAATTTGAGCGACGGCAGTTTGACCTTCAAGGACCTCGTCCCGCTCCACGACGTCCACATCCTCGAGCTGCATTTGCACGGGAACGCCGGTCTCATTGGCGACGACGACGAGGCGACGTACCGCATGATCGTCGCCGCCCTCTTGCCCAACGTGATGTCGCTCGACGGCCATTACATCACGGCGGCCGAGCGCCTGCGGTCCATCGAGCGCTACGACAGGTACGTGCATGTCCTCATGCACGGCGACGTGGATGGGTACGGCACAACGTCGGCGCTTTGGACGCCGCCCGCCGTGCGAGCGC